AAAAATCCCCAAATTCCCCAAAAAATCCAATCCCAAAAATGCCAAAAAATCCCCCAAAATCCCATCCCCAAAATCCCCAAATTCCCCCAAAAATCCAATCCCAGAATTCCCCAAAAATCCAATCCCAAAAATCCCAAAAAGTGCCCAAATTCCCCAAAAATCAAATCCCAGAATTCCCCAAAAATCCCATCCCCAAAATCCCCAAAATCCAAAAAAATCCAATCCCAAAAATGCCCAAATTCCCAACAAAACCAATCCCAAAATTCCCTCTGAAAATCCCCAAATTACCCCAAAAATCCCCAAAAAATCCCCAAATTCCCCCAAAAATTCGATCCCAAAATCCCAAAATTCCCCAAAAATCCAATCCCAAAAATGCCCAAATTCCCCCAAAAATCCCAAAAAATCCAATCCCAAAAATTCCCAAAATTCCCCCAAAAATCCAATCCCAGAATTCCCAAAAAATCCAATCCCAAAAATCCCAAAAAATCCCAAATTCCCCAAAAAATCCAATCCCAAAAATCCCAAAAAATCCAATCCCAAAAATCCCCAAATTCCTGAAAAATTCCCCAAAAATCCCCAAATTCCCCAAAAAATCCAATCCCAAAAATCCCCAAAAATCCAATCCCAGAATTCCCAAAAATCCAATCCCAAAAATCCCCAAAATCCCCAAAAATCCCAAAAAATCCCCAAAAAAATCCAATCCCAAAAATGCCAAAAAATCCCCAAATTCCCCAAAAATCCAATCCCAAAAATCCCCAAAAATCCAATCCCAAAAATCCCAAAAAATCCCCAAAAAATCCAATCCCAAAATCCCAAAAATTCCCCAAAAAATCCCCAAATTCCTAAAAAAATCCAATCCCAAAAATCCCCAAATTCCCCAAAAATTCCCAACCCCAAAAATCCCCAAATTCCCAAAAAAACCCCAAATTCCCCAAAAAAATCCAATCCCAAAAATCCCAAAAAATCCCCAAATTCCCAAAAAATCCAATCTCAAAAATGCCCAAATTCCCAACAAAACCAATCCCAAAATTCCCTCAGAAAATCCCCAAAAATCCCAAAATTCCCCAAAAATCCAATCCCAAAAATGCCAAAAAATCCCCAAATTCCCCAAAAATCCAATCCCAAAAATCCCCAAAAAATCCAATCCCAAAAATCCCAAAAAATCCCCAAAAATCCCATCCCCAAAATCCCCAAAATCCCCAAAAAATCCAATCCCAAAAATCCCCAAATTCCTGAAAAATTCCCCCAAAATCCCCAAATCCCCCGAAAATCCAATCCCAAAAATCCCCAAATCCCCAAAAAACCCAATCCCAAAAATCCCCAAATTCCCCAAAAATCCCCAAATTCCCCAAAAATCCAATCCCAAAAAATCCCTAAATTCCCCAAAAATCCCATCCCCAAAATGCCCAAAAAATCCCCAAAAAATCCAATCCCAAAATCCCAAAAATTCCCCCCAAAATCCCCAAATTCCTAAAAAAATCCAATCCCAAAAATCCCCAAATTCCCCAAAAATTCCCAACCCCAAAAATCCCCAAATTCCCAAAAAAACCCCAAATTCCCCAAAAAAATCCAATCCCCAAAATTCCAAAAAATCCCCAAATTCCCAAAAAATCCAATCTCAAAAATCCCCAAAAATCCCCAAAAATCCCCAAAAAT